GTCGCAGAGGGGGTGGCCGGGCACCAACGGGGCACACGGGGGCTCATACAACGGGCCGGGAGCCGGCACCGGCCCGAGGGGGTGTTCGCCGGACTAGCCGAGCCGCGGGCGCCGCAGGGCCCGGGGCACCCCTCCACGCACCATCAGGAGGCCATCTCGAGTGCGGGCAGTTGCAGAATGGGCGGCTGGCGGGCCAAGCGAGCCGGCGATGCTGCGGTCGCCCTCGTCCTGCGTCCCCAAGGCAGGGTGTTGCTCAAGAAGGGCCCCAGAGGAGCGGGAGGGGGGCGCGGGGCCCGGCCGCGCCGGGGGACTCGAGCAAGGAACGATGAACAACGACGGTGTGTGTGTGTGTGTGTTACAGGGATTGGGCACATTAATGTGCTGGGGCCGAACCCACTAACCCTGCCGGCTGTCCAGAGCGAGGAAAATCTGGCCGCCGATGGCATCCCGGGGAGGCTCCGTCTTGCAAGCGCCATGCCGGTCTGCCGGGCAGCCGTCCGCCGCCCAGATGCCGCCACGAAGGTGCCGTGAGGCAAAGTCCCAGCTAGTGTCCCGGCTGGGGTTCGAACTCGTGCCTGTGGTATCACCCACCGGCACTCATCCAGCTCCTTATTTAACGTCGCGGCCAACGACGGGCCGCCCGGCTGGGGTTGCTGAAAATACACTACATATTTAACAAATATTTGGTACTTCACCGACGGCTCCGTAGTTTAATGGTAGAACGTTTGACTCCAGATCAAACGGTTGCAGGTTCGATTCCTGTCGGGGTCAGATCACTTTTGGCACCCCCTGCCCCCTCCCCCGTCCCGATTCCTGTCGGGGTCAGATCACTTTTGGCAACCCTCCCCCGCCCCCATTCTTGTCGGGGTCATCAGACTTTTGGCACCCCCTCACCCGCACCCCCGCCCCAATTCCTGTCGGGGTCATCACACTTTTGGCAACCCCTGCCCCCTCCCCCGCCCCCATTCTTGTCGGGGTCATCACACTTTTGGCACCTTCTGCCCCTCCCCCGCCCCGATTCCTGTCGGGGTCACTTTTGGCACCCCTCTTGGCACCCCACACCCTCCCCGCTGCTGCCACCACCTCTATTCTCTCACACTCCCTATTCCCCCTCTTTCTTGCCTCTTCAGCGCAGCCAGCCATGGTCAATCTCGATCTGCCCGCTAGTGGATGTTACAGTGCACCACACAAGGAGGAGGGACCACCCAACCTGCTGCGCTGGAAAGCGGTGTGCGTGGCGTCTGCACATTCCCTAGATGCCCGCCGAGGTAGCATCGATGTCGGAGTAGTCGAAGCCCATCATCTTAGCAGGCGGCACCTGCACAAACACGCGTTGCCCCACGCCCAGGTCGTACACCTCCTCGTCCACCTTGCGAGACACCGTCAGGTCCACGTCCTGCACCAGAGAACAAGGCAGATCATTGGTCAAACCGCAACGACTGGCCTGCCAGCACCACACCCACCTGAGCTGTGCCGATGGCAACAAGCAACATCATGCTGCATTGGGGGAGATGGCATGTCTGGCTGCCCCCACTCACCACGTCGTCATCAAAGCGCAGGTAGTAGCGCACCGACTTGCCCAGGTTCGCCTTGTCGTGCACGGTGGCGGGGGCACACGACTGGCATTCCTCAAAGTTGGTGCGCAACCGGATGTCTGCAGAAGGACGGGCAAGCGAGCCAGGGGTTGGATAGGGCATGAACCTATCTAGCCAGAAGTCTGTTGTGGCCAAGGAATGCTACTCTGGTCATGTTTGCCCCCTGCCCAAGGTCTGCTCACTCGGGCTATCATAGCAGGGTGACTGTAACACAGAGGACCGCTGACCAAGAGCAGCAGCAGCAACAGCAGGGTTCCCTTTGGTGCAACAGCTCACCCGAGGGGCGGACCATTACGAAAGGCTTGTCGGTGTGGAAGCCCATCTTGCGAACAAGCTGCACGGGGGGAACCAAGGGAGACAAGGCAGCAGCGAGGAGGAGCCGTGAGCGCATTTAAATCAACAGCAAGAGCGAGAGGGCCTTGGCCGCACGGCTGCTTTTGCAGCCTGAACGCACATCGAAACAGACAAACTCTCTCTCGCCACCCTCCCACCTGGCAGGAGGCAGGCACGTGGCTCACGTCCCCGACAAAGTTCATCACAAACGGAGACATCGGCTCCTTGGCCACCTCCTGCCACAGGGCACAACACGAGGGCGGAAGGGGGGGCAACACTCAGGCTGGCAGCAGCGGCAGTGGACTGCAAGGGCTGTTGACAAGCTAGTGCATCTGCCCCGAGGGCTGTTAAGAAGCCAGCGCATCTGTCCACACACACCTCGGGCGTGCCATGCTGCTCGATGGCGCCCTTGTTGAAGATGACCACGTGGTCGGCAATGTCCCACGCCTCCTCCTACATAGGCATGGCGAGTGGTGGCGGGATGGTGGTGGTGGTGGTGGGGCACAGCGGCACAGCAAAGGGCTGCTGATGCGCGATGCCATGCCAGCTAGCCACCCACCCACCCACCCACCACCCACCTGGTCATGCGTGACGATGATGGTGGTGACGCCAACGCGCCGCACAATGTCACGCAGGCCGTGCCTGCAGCGAGGGTAACCAGCCGGCAGCGCAGGGCGGCTCAAGCGCAGGCCAAGTTGGGGGGGCAAGGTGCATGGTGTGAGGGCTTCAAGGCAGGAGAGGCACCTGCAATGGTGCAGGCAAAGGTAGGCAGCAGCAGCAGCAGCAGCACGCAGCAGCAGGCGCACCGCAGCGACTTGCGGACCACCGGGTCCAGCGCCCCAAAGGGCTCGTCTAGCAGCAGCAGGCGCGGGTTGCAGGCCAAGGCGCGCGCCACCGCCACGCGCTGCTTCTGGCCTCCAGACAGCTGCAGGCGGGCAGGCGGGCGGCGGCGCAGCGGTGGGGCTCAGCTCGGCGGTAACAACATGGCAGGAAACAACAAGGCGGGGCCACCAGGCTGATATCTGGCATCGATGCAGAAGGGCCCAGAGCGTGCATGCCCCACCTGCGGCGGGTACCGTCCGCCCAGCCCTTCCAGCTCCGTCAGCTGCAGCAGCTCCTCCACCCTGCGCCTCACATACACATGGCATCACCATCACACACCGGCTGCCAGCCAGCCTGTGCTGGCAGCCCGCAATGACCGGCCCCAAAGCATGCGCAGCTGCCAGCCACCGCAGGGCCCGAGCCTGCCCCTGCCGCCTCACTTGGCCTCCAGGTCCAGCCCCATCTTGCGCATGCGCGGCCCAAACGTGATGTTGTCGGCCACAGTCATGTGCTTGAACAGCGCATAGCCCTGCGGCAGGGGCGGGGCCGGGAGCGGCGGGGGCTGTCGAGCAGAAGCGCCGCATCCGGCGCGAGAGGGCCGCGGGCAGCTGGCGCTGCTCGTCCTGCCGGACCCGATGCAGCGGCGCTGCCGCTGCCTTGCTCCTCCTTGCGGGCAGCCAGGGGAGAGGCAGGAGCCCCGGACAGCCGCACCTGGAAGACAAAGCCGAGGTCCCGGTCTGGCACCGACCGCCCCGTGATGTCCTCCCCGTCAAAAAACACCCGCCCCGCGGTCGGCTCCTCCAGCCCCGCTATCAGCCGCAGCAGCGTGGTCTTGCCTGCAGGCAGGCGGCAGGAGTTGGGGCGGGTGGGGAAGGCTGGGGCGGAATGGCCGGCCTCGCCAGCCACGGCGCTGCCGGCCGATTTCAGCCGCGCAGCCAAGCATCCCGTCGCCGCCCTCAGGCCCGCGGCCGCACCTGAGCCGGAGGGCCCCAGCAGCGCTGTGATCGTGCCTGGCTCCATGTCCACGCTGGCGCCGTTGACCGCTTTGAACAGCCCCCGCCGCGTCTCAAAGTGCTTCACCATATCCTGCACCACGACCTTGGCGCCCCGCACTTTCAGCGCCGGCGCGGCGCCCCTGCCAGACGTGGACGGCTGCCCGCCATTCTCGCTGCTGCCGGGCTGCTGCTGCTGCTGCTGCTGCTCCTCGAGCGAGGCGGCTTCGGCCGCTGCCACCAGGGGGGCGGCGCGCCGGTGGCGTGGCTGCGGCCGCTGCGCCGGCAAGAGCTGCTGCTGGCCGTGATGCTGCAGCAGCAGGGTGGGGGGAACCGCCGGCGCCGCGCAATGAAGGCCACAATGCAGGCGCGCAGAACTAAGCCAGCAGAACAGCAGCACCTCGCTGCCGTTGCAGGCGGCAGGCGACGGCGCTTCCGGCGTTGCCCCCTGCTGCGGCCTGTGCTGCAGTGTCGCCCGTGCTGCGGCCTCTGCTGCAAGTAGCGCGCTGTACTGCAGCCGCAGCGCTTACCTGCGGGTCCACAGCTCGCCCTGGGAAAGCAGATGGCAACCGCACACCAGCATGGAGGCTGCTGCACCGTGCTGCAGCCGACATGCCAGGCCGCTCTACTGAAAACCAACTGGGACCGCCTGCCTGACTCTCGGCGGCAAGGGCTGCGCGCACACTACGCAAGTGGCGTCACAAACAGCGCGCTGCGCCTATTCAATGAGGTAAAGTCGTTCAGCAGCACTCTTCTCCTTCTGGCTCCTGCAACCTCCTGTTTTGCAGGCACCCAACTCAGGTGGAAGGAAGGGGAATGGCTCTCGAGTGGCGGGCTCGCCCAATTGAGCTTGTTTTTGATCGGTGGCATCTGTGATCGCATCCTGGCTGGTTTCAGGGGTGGTGTGCAAGAATTTGTGTGCGGGGCCTGGGATGGGGAATTGTTGCGCCTGTCCAGCAGCAGCGAGGGATGCGCAGGAGACCGTGCGAGAGAATGGGGTCGATCAGCAGCAGCCAGCCAACCACCGGGACCAGCGGCAGGCGGCCGTCCCGCCGCTCGTCTTGGCGGCAGGCGGCGGCAGCAGCCCGCCAGACGACCCCACGCTGCTGCTGTCGCACCGGTCCATGGGATGGTACAGCGCAGTAGACGGCGGGATGAGCGATGCCGAGGATGAGTGGCACGATGCGCTGTCGGAAATCGACCTGGCCGAGGCGCTGCAGGGGTGGGAGGAGGAGGGCCGGTGGCACGACGAGAGCGTGGATGAGGCCATCCAGGTGCCCTTCTGCTGCCGATGGCTGCTGGCGCTGGCCGGCCTGCTCCCTCCCTGGCATCCACGCCTGCCCTGCTTTGCATTGCAACGCCCGTTGATGTGGTGGCGAGTTGCCATGTTGTGGAGCAGCCACCCGCCTGCCTGCCCGCCTGCCTGCCTCCCCCCCTACGCAGGTGCTGAAAGCGCACGGCCACCTGCTGCCAGCCGACCTGGAGGCGGCGGCCAAGCAGGACATGGCGGCGGAGCAGCTGGCGGCGGTGCTGGAGGGCGCGCCGCGGGTGACCGTGGCGGCGGTGCCGGCCCTCAAGCTGAAGCGCTCGCGGTCGCAGCACCTGCGCTCCTCGCTGGACGCGCCCGGCGCCCGGCAGCTCCTGCAGCAGGCTGCGCAGCTGGCGGCGGACGGCCGCGTGCTGGGGGCGGCCGCCACGCTGCACCAGCTCGCCGAGCTGGTGGGCGGCAGCGTGGAGGAGCTGGCGGCGCTGCCCGACGACGCGCTGGCCGCGGCGACGCCAGCTGGCGCCAGCCTGGACGTGGCACGCGTGCTGGCGGACGCCTCGGCCGCCCGGGAGGCGCTGCGGGCACTGGAGGACCACAAGGGGTGGATGGTGTCCCGCGACGACGCGCTCAAGGTCCACTACCGCCACCAGCGCGGCACCACGGTGCACAGGCAAGCCGCCGGCCGCGCCCGCCCGCCGCGTGCTGCCGCGCGGTGGCGGGGCGCTGCCTGCCCCTGCGTGCCAGTCGTCGTTGATGTTAAGCCCCCCCCCTGCCTGCAGCCTCAAGTTCTCCGCCGTGTTTGCCCACCCGCTGGAGCACCTGCTGGCGCTGGCGCACGAGTTCGACCTGGTGGTCACGTGGAACAAGTGAGGGCAGGCTGGCAGGTGGAACAAGTGGGAGCAGCGGGGCGGTGCTGGCAGGGAGGGCAGCAGGCTGCCCCGGGTGGGGTACGTTCCTGGCGGGGAGGGGTAGGGGCAGGCTGGGTGGCGTTAAGGGGACACCACAGCCGCCGCAGCTCCCTCCCCTGCCCTGCCCACCATCACGCATGCCACTTGCCACCGGTATGGCCCCGTCTCCTGGCCTGCCCCTGCCCCACTCCCTGCCTGCCTGCCCGCCTGCCTGCCTGCCTGCCTGCCTGCCTGCCTGCCTGCCCGCCCGCAGGTTCAGCCTGGCCAGCATCATGCTTGCCGAGCCCTCCATCTTTGAGTCGTACCTGTATGGGGCGCAGTGGATGATGAAGCCGTTCAAGTGAGGGAGGGAGTGTGTGGGTGGGTGGGGGAGAGGTTGGCATTCGCCTGCACGGCTGGATCAAGCCTGGGAGGGAGAGCCTTCCAATGGCTGTTTTTTGTGTGTTGCTGGGGTACTGGGCAGCCTCCCAGCGTAGCGCTGGGCTTGGTGCTCCGAGGAGCATCCGTGCCAGCCAGCCCCGCCTGCCAGCCAGCCGACTGGCCCCGCCGTGCCGCCCGCCGCGGCTGCAGGAACATGCAGGCGCTGCTGCGGGCGCGCGGGTTTGACCTGGCGCAGGAGCACCGCTGCCTGCTGGTCAGCATAGGGGACTGCTCGCCGGAGGAGCTGCCGCAGGGGCATGTGCCGCTACCCAAGGAGTGGGCCAAGCGCAAGCTCATCAACTTCCTGGCGGGATCCTGCCTCAAGCTCAGGTGGGGGGGCAGCCTGGGCGTGTGGCATGGCTTGGCACCTGCGGCCCGGTCCCAGGGTGGTGGGCTGGCCATCGGCCACCCTGCAAAGCCAGGCTGCTCGGCCGACCGCCGCCGCCTCGCCGCGCGCGCCTCCCGCCTGCAGGCCGCTGGCGCCGTCTGCCGACGGCGCGCCGCGCACCGAGGGCAGCCTGCTGATCCATTTGGACCCCCACATCCCCTTCATCCCCGCCTTCCTCCTGAACTTTGTGCTGGGCGTGCTGGCGCCCTACATCTTCAACCAGATGAAGAAAGTGCTGGACGGCTCGTTTGCCGACCCGCAGGGCGAGTACAGCCGCCGCATCGCGGCGCAGCCCCAGCTGTACGGCCTGGTGCGCCGCCGCATGGCCGAGTACGAGGGGGAGCTGGAGGCGGAGGCGGAGGCGGAGGTGTTGTGACGGCGCGCCCGCACAGCCAGCTGCCCGCCCTGGCTGCCCCTCTGCCTTTCCCCCGGCCGCCCCAGCACAGCCCCGGGCTCTTGGCCGCCCGCTCCGCTGCCGCCGCTTGTGAATGCCAATAACCACCGTGACCAGCCCCGCCTCGGGGGCACCGTTGACTTCCTCCACTGCTGCTACATTCATCTGCCCTCTGTTGTGCTCCCCACCTTTACCATTTCAACACCACCAATTTTCAGTGACCACACCAGCTTGCTTCGTTCGCATACGCATCATCTCTTTCTTCAAAAGAACTCTGTAAATTGCCTCAGCTACTCAGCGTGTGACACCCCTTTGTGCTTGTAACTGCTGCCAACCGCACGCCGCCGCTGTGGACCAGGCTGGAGCGGCGCCAGCAGGTTCATTGCTGGTGGCTGGGCGCTTCCAAGGAGATGGCCACCATTGCAACAGCTTGGCCGCTGCTGCCGCCACAGCCTGAAACTTGACATCAACAATGCCTGGGCTCCCCCCTGCACTGCCAGAACTGCTGGCATGATTGCCATCTGTAGCGTCCAACTTGGTGCTGAGCGTGCGGTACAATTAGTTCCATGCCGACAGCGGTAAGCCTGTTCTTGTTCTGTGAAGTGCTGCCCAGCACCATGCGCTGGTCACGTGAGCTTGGAGCATTGCTGAGTGGCCCATGATCACGTTTGAGCCCCCAGGGTGTGCCTCAGATCAACGCAGGTGTCCACCCCTGGTTTTGTGGCGGGGCCATGCTGTGCCCTGCTGCGCCAGTCAGCGAAAATGGGACAGGCGGCCCTCACCCGTGTGCACTGCTATTTCAAGCCCCACCTCGTCCTGATCGCCGCAAGGGATTTCCCGGGAACTTTCCGACACAACGGGGCGGGGGCCGCCCCGTGGCCCCCTGCACTGCTTGAGATTGTCGATTCTTTGCCGGTACATGCTGATGCGACGGCTCCAAGCCATCAGGGGCGGCGGGGCGGCGGCCGCCGCCGCCTCCCGCCTCCTCACCACAGCGGCCGCCCAGGCGCCGCGCTACATGCCCTCCCTCCAGCAGTTTGCTGCCATGGAGGCCCTAGCTGCAGGCATACTGCAGGGCAGTCGGCGGGCTGTCAGCCAGGGCATCAGCCTGGTGGAGAGCTCACGTTTAGATCATCAGCTGCTGGCCGCCAAGCTGGTCCGCGCTTTGCGGCGGGAGCGGCGGGAGGCGGCAGCACAGAGTGGTGGCCCCGAGCCGTTTCGCATAGGAGTCAGCGGCCCGCCGGGGGCCGGCAAGAGCTCGCTTATAGAGGCGCTTGGGGTCGAGCTGCTGCGAGCTGGGGAGCGGGTGGCGGTGCTGGCGATCGACCCCAGCTCCGAATCCAGCGGCGGCGCCATCCTGGGGGACAAGACGCGTATGCCGCGGTAAGGCCCAGCAGCTGAGCTTGATATTGTGATTGCATCCCATCCCCTCGGCTTGCCGCTTCATGAGCAGAGGAGGTGCCCGCCGCCTGCTCCGCAGCCTGAGCGCCAGCGCCGATGCCTACGTGCGTCCCAGCCCCGCCAGGGGCACCCTGGGCGGCGTGGCGCGCTCCACGGTTGATGCAATATCGATATGCGAGGCGGCTGGCTACAGCAAGGTGGGCGAGCTGTCTGCAGCTGGCTGGCAGGCAGGCCGCTCTGAATGGCGCAGCTGCATGCCGCAAGCCACTATACAGAGCTGCGCGCCTCGCCGCGGTCTTACGCAGGTGTTGGTGGAGACTGTGGGTGTCGGCCAGAGCGAGACAGCGGTGCAGGACCTGGTGGACGTGTTTGTGCTGGTGCTCCCGCCGGTTGGAGGCGACGAGCTGCAGGTGCACACAACAAACAGCACCCGATAGCTACCCTGTGGAGCATTCATCAACCCCATCCTCCGTGGCCTTCATTGCTCTTCTCATTGTCGCGGCCTGCAGGTCGTCAAACGTGGGATTCAGGAGCTGGCAGGTGCGCGGGTGCTGCTGGCCCCCCTGACCACGTGTGCCTCTGCCTGCCCTCACCCAGCCTCCCTTCTCACCTTGAATCGGCATGCAGACATTGTGGTGATCAACAAGGCTGACGGCGCCACCAAGGCTGCGGCAGCACGGGCCGCCGCTGCGTTCAAGAGCACCGCGTACTTCCACCGCCAGCGGCGGCGCAGCTGGCAGCCCACTGTGCTGACCTGCAGCGCACACTCTGGGCTCAACATCGACAAGCTGCAGCACCAGCTTGCCGACTATCAGGCGGCCATGGTGCACAGCGGCGAGCTGGCGCAGGTGCGGCAGCATCAGCACCGACGAGTGGCTTGGACGGCGGCAGAGGAGGCGGTGCTGGATTCGTTCAGGCAGAACGAAAACGTGAAGTGGTTGCTGGCGCGCCTGATGCCCGACATTTCCACCGGGGAGCTGGGGCCCCGTGCTGCTGCAGAACTGCTGGCCGCATATCATGCCATGTACGACTAAGCAGGCCGGCCCATCCATCCTAGCGCCACCTATTTCTTCGCCAATTCTTGTTTTTCTGTTTCATATCTCCATGCTTCAAAGTACTGCTCTGTAAAAACATGTGTCAGGTACTGCCAGGCACTCAGCTGCGCACGTTGTGTCGCAGCGCCAGCCTGCCGCCCGCAGCGCCAACGAGGTCGCTGCGACCGCTGCGAACCGGCATGCACTGATCATCCCTTCAGCCTGGAGCATTGCCGGTTGAGCCCATGCTCACATGTGGGCTCCATGCTGCCTCTCAAGATATCTGTCCACGCTATTGTTGGGTGGTTCGGGCACGGCCATGCTGTGTCCTGCTGCGCCAGTCAGCAACATGGGCCAGGGTGAAAACAGGCGGCCCTCACCCCCGTGCGACTTTCTGACAGCGCGGCGTCACTGCTCACTCAAGCCCCACCTCGTCCTGACCGCCGCGGGGGTTTTCCGGAAACTTTCCGACACAACGGGGCGGGTGCCGCCTCGTAGCTCCTAGCATTGCCTAGGATCGTCACACCTCGCCCGCCCATACATGCTGCTGCGACGGCTCCAAGCCATCAGGGGCGGCGCAGCGGCGGTCGCCGCCGCCTCCCGCCTCTTCTCCACTGCTGCCTCCTCCGCGGTTCGCGGCGGCATCGCGTGCCTGGATGAGCTGCGGACGGTCATCAAGCTGGAGGGCTCCAACCTGATGCCCTTTCTGCAGAGGATCGTGTCTAACGACGTCACGCAGCTGGCGCCCGGCGGGCCGCCGCTGTACGCCTGTGTGCTCACCGCCCAGGGCCGCTTCCTGCACGACCTCTTCCTGCACGCGGTGGAAGGTGGGACCAGCATGCCGGGTCGGGCATCATGCAAGGGCACCTGGACATCAGGGAATACAAGACCGGCCCGGCGAGGCTGCATGCCAGCAGCTGATAGGCCGCTCCGACGCTCCAACGCCTGCCATCCTGCTGTGCCGCACAGGCGCCGACGTGCCCACCGTGCTGGCCGACTGCGACGCCGCGCAGCGCCGCCCGCTCATGGACCTGCTGCAGCACTACTCCCTGCACCACAGTGTCTCCGTCAGCAACGCGGGCAAGGCGTACGCTGTCATGGCAGCCTTTGGCGGCGGCATCGCCGGAGCCAGCTCAGCGCCGGAGCGCGCGTGGGCCGCCGACCCGCGCCTGCCCGCGCTGGGGCGCCGCGCCGTGCTGCCGCGCGGCAGCGCGCCCGCCCCCACCGCCTCGTGGCGTGACTACCGAGCCTGGCGCATGCAGCACGGCGTGGGGGAGGGGGACAGCGAGATGCCTTCTGGTGCGCGTCGCTGCGGCGGGCGGGGTGGCGAGTTGAGAGTCCTGGGGTGCAAGGTGCTGGCTCGTCACAGTAGCCGCCCCTGCAATGGCTTGCCCACCCTGCGCTGTGCATGCTGTGGTTGCGCCGCGCTGCGCCACCCGTGCAGGCGAGGCCAACCCCCTGGAGTGCAACCTGGACGCCCTGCGCGGCCTCTCCTTCGCCAAGGGCTGCTACGTGGGGCAGGAGGGCGTGGCGCGCGTGCACGCCCGCGGCGTGGTGCGCAAGCGCCTCATGCCGTTCAAGCTGGGCGCCGCGCGCGGCTCGGGCTGCATCAGCGCAGGCGAGGCCCGGCATCCCCATCTCTTTCTTTCTACATACTATACATCCAACACATATCCAGGGAGTGGTGCCAAGGGGCCACCCCACCGGGCAATGCGTCCCTCACTGCGCCTGCACCTGCGCCTGCGCCTGCTGCCGCGTGCCGCGCAGTGAGCCTGGACCCGCGCAGCTCCCACGTGTTTGATGTGTACGACGCCGACGAGAGCCTGTCGGCGGTGGGGCGGGTGCGGGTGGTGCAGGGCGGGCTGGGGCTGGCCACCATCCGCCTGCAGCAGGTGAGCCGGGCGCCACGCCCGGCGCCAGCCGCCTGCTGCTGGCCGCGCCTGCAGCCTGGCATCATGCCCCCGCTCGCCCTACCTGCCTGTCTGCTCCATCTACACTGCGAGCAGCTGGCCTGGCGGAGCTGACCCCCCCGCTGGCGCCCTGGACGGGTGTGCAGGCCATGGCCGCCATCCGCGAGGAGAAGCCGCTGCTGGTGGGAGGCCTGGAGGTGGGTGGCAGGGCTGTGTGCGCGTGCGGGCGGCTGCGTGTGCGTGCATGCACATTAGCATGTGGTTTTTGTGTGGGAGGCACGTGCCATGCATATGGGGTGGTGACCTGGCATGCCCTGTGTGGGGGGGGCGGGCGCCGCGGCCTGTGCGCAGGCGGGCAGCGGGTATGCCGAGATCTGGCCCTGGCGCCCCGAGTGGTGGGAGCCCCGCTGGGGCCACGAGGAGGCGGCGGGGGGCGAGGAGGAGGCCCAGCGCAGGGCGGCCTGAGCGCGGCGCACGGCCCTGGGTGCGACTGAGCGCGGCGAGAGCCGCCGACACCCCTCCCTCCCACCCTCCCAACTTAAATGGATGGTCAAAGGAGTGCTGCCTTCTCCAGTGGCTTTCTTCAGCCTGCCACTTGGTTGGGTGCACACGCCCCTGCCTTGTGCTCTGCTCTGTTGTGTTGTCAGCTGCCCACCCTCGGTACGATAGGCGCTCGCCTCCTCGCCATCAACGGATGTTGTTACACGCATGCATGCCCAAGCGGGCAACCATTTTGAACAATGCACACTCTGCTACTGCACACTCTGCTGCTCTCTGTGCCTTTGCTGCATCGCTCTGTAAAAACTGCGTCCTGCCTGCCTAGTTCCACAGCCCTGCAACGCCTCGTCGCCGGTGGCGCGCGGGCCAGTGCAGCCGCAAGCCTCGGGCGCGCGCTCAGCCCCTGCGCCCCCGCCCGCCACCGCCGCCACCGCCGCGGTCTGCGCCGCCCTCTGTGCGCAGCCGCTTGTTCTTGACCACCACCCCCGCCGAGCGCTGCCGCCGCACGTGATCCAGCTGCTTGCGCTTGCCCGCCGCCTTGCGCTGCTGCTTGCGCATCTTGCGCTTGGCGGCGGCCTCGGGGTCCACCAGCGTCTGAGGAGGGAGCGGCAGCGGGAGCAGCGCGAGTGCGACTCAAGCGCAGCGCAATCTCAGCGCAGCACAGCACGGCACAGCACAGCACAGCACAGCACAGCAGTGAAGGGCACAGCGCCCGCCGCCCCAAGCCCCAAGCCGCAAGCCTGCCCCACCAGCCACCGGCAAGCAGCTATTCTGCCCGCCGGCCGGCCGCCTGGCGCCCAGCCACACACACACACACCTGCAGCGCCTCCCTGCGCTTGCGCTCGCCGCGCTGCCGTCGGACCGACTGGCGTGCGGCGTTGTAGGCCGCCAGCATGGCGTCTGCGCCCGCCAGGCCCCGCAAGTGCGCCACCACCTCCTCCGCCAGGCTCACCACCTCTGGCGGGTTGCCGGTGGCGCCTGCGGGGAGAGGAGGCGAGAGGCATAGGCAGGAGGGGAGGGGCAGGAAGCAGAGGAGGAGCTGAAGGAATGGGTGGCTCGGGGGGGGGGGGTGGAGCAGCCGTGCAGGCAGTTGGAGGCAGGGCACAGCTGGGGCGCCGGAGGCGGCACTGGAGGCGCATCGGCTGGCAGCGGCAGCCATGGGCGGTGTGGTGTGGCTTTGGGCGGGGCCCACCACCTCCCCGCCTGGCCTCACCCGAGCCCACCCCACCTGACACTTCACGCGCCCTTCACCCACCCACCTGGCTCCGTGATGCGGTACAGCGGGCGCATGAGCAGCGGCAGGTAGGGCGCCACGCGGGCGGCCCCCAGCCGCGCCGCCGCCGCCGCCACAAAGCGCAGGGCCACGCCGCGCTGCAGCTGCCGCCCGTACGTCTTGTCGTCCGCCAGGCGAGCCATGCGGCGCACCAGCCCCTGCAGGCTCAGCCCGCCGCCCGCCGCCTCCTCAGCCGCGGCCGCCTCGCCGCCAGCCGCCCCCGCGCCCTCGCCATCCTCGCCGTCGCTGCCGCTGCCGTCGGCTGCTGCTGCTGCTGCTTCAGTGCAGTCATCCTGATCCTCCTCCGCCTCCTCCTCCTCCCCCCCTGCACCTTCCTCCTCCTCCTCGCCGCTGCTGCCAACCGCCGCTGCGCCGCCGGCCGCGCCTGCCCCCGCTGCCTCGCCCGCATGCGCCGCCCCGGCGGCCGCCGGGCCGGCGAGCTTGAGCGGCGGCGGCACCCTGCCTGCCGCCTCATCATCTTCGTACATGTGTGTTGCCAGGAAGACGAGGCACTTGACCGCCTGCCCAGCCAGCGCCTCGTCAGCGGCCTCCGAGTCCAGCTGGCGGAAGAAAGAAAGCGCCAGCGTGCCTGCACGAGGTCCCATGGGGGGTGGGGTGCGGGGCACTGAGAAGGGCAGCGCTGCACGTGGCTGCGTGGCATGCGGGGGAGCAGGGGGGCAAGCACTGCAGGCAGAAGGCAGCAGCAGGAGGCTGGCGGCTAGGCATGCAGAAACCGAGGCCCGCTTGCCCGGCCGCCGCCCTGCCCACCTGCCGCGCCGCTGCCCGCTGCCTCCAGCCAGGGCTGCCCCACGGCGGGCGCCGCCAGGCCGCCGCCCACCAGCCTGCCCGCCGCCTTGCGCACCCACTGGTGCCGGTGCAGCAGCAGGCGCTGCGCGGCGGCCCAGCAGCGGCGCGCAGCGGCGCCCGAACCCCATCCCAGCTGCGCCGCCGCCGAGCCCTCCAGCAGGCGCTGCAGCAGCAGCAGGCTGTAGTAAGCCTCCTGCCAGCCGGGCGCTGCCGCCGCAGGCGCCTCGCCGCCGCCGCCGCCGCCACTGCCCGCTTCGCCCGCCGCCGCCTCGCCCGCCGCGTCTGCCGCCGCCGCGTCCGCCGCCGCCCGCGACTCCAGCAGGTTTGCCAGCGGCGGCAGCAGGGGGGGCACGCGCCGCGCAAAGCCGGCCCCTTCCGCCTCCGCCAGCACACCCAGCGCCTGCAGGGGAGGAGCCGGGGGAACAGATCAGCTGTGGGGTGGTGGTGGTGCAGCTGTGGGGTGGTGTGGTCGCCCGCCGCCCATGGCAGGCACGCCAGCCTGGGCGGCAGCGATCCCCTGCCCTGCCGCCGCAGCCTCTCGTAGAGCTGCCTCCGCTGCCGGGCCCGCTGCCGCTGCGCACAGTGCTGCCTCCTCCTGCACGCACACACCTGCCCACCTCGCCCCCAGCGCCCGCCGCCAGGCCCGGGCCCATTCCCCCGCCCCCTCTCACCTGTGCCGCCGCGCGGCTGAGCCGCGCGTCGCCGCCGCCCAGCCACCGCACGCAGTACTGCGCCAGGCGGTCGCGCTGCGGGGTGCCCGCACGCCGCGCCACCACCCCCAGCGCCGCGCCAACCAGCGAGCGGCAGCGAGAGTCTGGGTCGTTCACCAGTCGGGCCACCAGCGGCAGGAAGACCTGGAGGGGAGGGAAGGGCGGCGGGGAGGAGGGTGGGCGCGAGGAGAGGGTGGTGGGGGCGGGCAGGCGGGCAGGTGGGCAGGCGGGCAGGCGGGGCAGGCGGGCAAGCAATCGCTTCCGGCGGCCGGCAGCTGGACGCCGGGGCAGGGGCAGGTCCAACAGCACATGGAGGCGCGCGGGGCTGGGCTCGTTGCCGCTGCCGGGTCGGGCGCCGGCGCGGCTTGCAGGCGGCAGCTCCAGCCCGCCCGTTCCTCCCCGCACACACCCCTCCTCCACACACACACCCCTCCTCCCCGCCCACCATTTCCGCCCACTGCGACACCAGCGGCTGCGGGAACTTGGTGAGCACCACTGTGAGCATGTCCAGGGCCGCCTCCCGACCGCTGGCGTGCTCGTACGACAGGTGGCCAGAAGGAACTGGAGGTGCTCCTGCAGCCGCTTCTCGCCTGCGGTGGGGTGGGGTGGGGCAGGGGGCATGGGGGGTCGTGTGCGGGTGAGGCGGCGCGGCCGGGTGGAGGGCAAACGACGGCGGGGGGTGCGGGGAGGCGAGCGGGCGTGGAGGGGCCCCGCCCCAGGGTGCGGCGCACGGCGCGGGATCCTCTCCGGCATCGCCTGCCCTCCCTCCTCCCCCACAGCAGCAGCACCACCACTAGCAGCGGCACCAGCCCCCACACCAGCAGCACCAGCACCACCACCACCAGCCCCTACACCAGCAGCAGCACCACCACCACCACCAGTACCGCCAGTACGGCCAGCTCACCCAGCGGGTAGTCCAGCAGGAACTGGAGCAGGGCGGAGGAGCAGGCGGAGCGCACGGGCGCCGCCTGGCTGCGCACCATCAGCTCCTGCAGCCGGCGCCGGCGCAGGGGCGGCAGGCAGAGGGTTAGCCATCAGCCGAGCAGGGCCCAGCGCCGACGCGCCCGGCGGCAGGGCTGTTCAGGGCGAGCGCGCTCCCGTGCAGGGCTGTGGCCAGGCGGCCAGGCAGGGAGGCGGGGCGCGTGTGCTGTGTGTGCTGTGTGTGCTGTGTGTGCGGGGGGCGGGCCTCACCTGCACCCGCACCATGAGGTCGTACACCTCGGGCAGCACCAGCTTGCGGGACAGGATGGCCTGCGGGGGTGGGTGGGGTGGGGGACGTTGCGGTGGGTGGAGGAAGGCAGCGGTGGTGGTGGTGGTGGTGGTGGTTGTATGTGTGTGTGTGTGTGTGTGTGTGTGTGTGTGTGTGTGTAAGTCGGCGAGGGAAGAAGGCAGCCGGGGCCTGCCGCTTGTCGGCTGCCTCTCCACGCCACACGCCCCCGTCGCATGCGCAGCCGCAGCCACGGCGCCGCCGCCGCCGCCTCGCGCACCTTGAGCAGGTGGAAGGCGTTCTGCCTGCCCGCGCTTTCCTCCAGGTCCCCAAAAGCCCAGGTCACCAGGAAGCGCAGCTGGCCGGTGCTGGGCTGCCAGCGCTCGCACTGGCGCAGCATGCCGCCCAGCAGCTTGAAGCAGTCCTGGGCGATGGGGTGGCTGGTCTGGGGGCAGCGCTTGAGCAGCTCCGTCACCGCCTTGCCCGCATCTGCGGGCGGGGGAGCGCACGGTGTGTGTGTGGATGGGATCGCAGCCGGCGTCTGCCTGTGCGGCCTCAAGCAATCGCATAGAGGCCGCGTTAGACACGCGGCGGCCAGCGCAGGGCGAGGCAAGCGGGGCGCCGCCGAGCGCCCCACACCTGCCGCCGTCTTCTGCAGCCCGGGCAGCTGGCTCTGCATCAGCAGGCTGAGGGCCTGGAGGGCGGTGGTGACGGAGGGGGCGTGGCGGGAGCGCAGCGCGCGCACCAGCAGCGGCAGCAGAGGGTCCAGAAGCTCGCCTGCATGAGGTGGCAGCGGCGGGGGCACGGCACAGGCTGGCCGCTCATCCCAGGGGGCTCCCCACCCCACATCCCCCGTGCATGCAGGGAAGCTGGCGGCAGCCAGGCCTCCTGGCATGGGCAGCCGCGGCCAGCTTGCTAGTTTTGCCAGCCGGCGCCCTGGCGCAGCAAATAGGCAAAGAAACCGAGGCAGGCAGGCGCTTGTGTCGTCTCGCCCGCACCTGCGCCCGGGCTGCGCGGGTTGATGGTCCCCTTGCGCAGCCCGCCCTGCAGCAGGCTCAGCGCAAACTCCACAAGCAGGTGCTGGTACATGGCCGCCGTGGCCGCGCTGCTGCCGCCATCCCCCTCGCCCTCGCCCTTGCCTGCAGGCAGAAGACGGGCGGGCGCTGGGCGAGGCGAGGCGACACCGCCAGCAACGATCCGCCCCCTGGAGGGGCAGGCAGGCAGGCCTCCGCTCCCTCCCTGCCACCCGTTCCATTGTGCCCGCCGGCAGGGCAGGCCAGAAGGCGTGGCGCAAGGGGAGCAGCGCAGCGCACCGGTGGGCATGGCGGCGCCGGCGGCGGCCTTGGCCTTGCCGCGCGCCGCCTCCTCCGCCGCCAGCCCCGCGTCGGCGGTGGCAAAGAAGAACATGCAGATGTCTTCGGGGGTGGCTGCAGGCAGGCGAAAAGTGGTGGTGGTGTGTGTGGGGGGGGG